CAGAGCAGAGATCTCAGCAGGGTACTGGTGGAGCTCAATGACATGATGTTGTGTGAAGTAGCCAATCCTTGCGGCAGGGTGTCGGGTGATCTTCCCTCTGGTGGGTGCTAGCACTAGCTCTCCGAAGAGGGCCTCTACAAAAATTGCCTTCCGACTATAATCCGTCCCCATGCAAGGTGGTGTCAATGAATAAACAGCGTCGAAAACCTCAATACCCCAGACTTGCGGGAGCGACCTCCAGGTAACCATGCATGTAGATCGAAGATATCATAAGAATCGACTTCTACGCTATGCAATATGATATAATACGTATGGGCAGGCAATAGGCGGGGGCGAGTCGATGAGGTAGTCATAGATTACCGAGATGAGGTCTAGGTGTCTGGGCGCCAAGGGTGCTTCCCGAGAACGTCATGTGATCCCCGGAGTCCGCCAGACTCCGGCAGACTCGCCGGACTCAACAGTCTCGATATTTTGCGACTCTTGGGGAACGATCACGTGCCCGTGTCCGCCAGAACCTTCCTCCGCGGTCCAGCATCAAAAATGTGCCTATCCCCTGAACCATTCATGATTTCAGACACATATCTCATCCCGAAGTATCTGCACAACATACATACACGCATACGGGACGGCGTGTACTCGTGCACCATCGACGGCATGGACGGCAAGGCGTCCTATGCCACCCTTGCTCCTGCTTTCTTCACAATAGCTGGAATCATCGTCGAATCCGACCATTGCACATGCATTCCGATTCAAACGCAGGAGCAATGCGCTGAGATACCTCCAACCATGGATGTCGACGATCATCAGTGAACTTACTTCTTGGCCTGGCGGGAGCTCAAAGCAAGCACCGGCAACCTACCGGCCCTCGTGAAGCGTGTCGTGATGTTATAAATGCTTGTAGAAGCACCTTCACATCGTTCCACACTCAGGCTCTCGTTGCACAGGTCACCATGGAACATTCGGCGCAAAGTCTTCTGGACCGGACCCACAACGAATACTGAGCCAGCAACACCAGCGTCGGCAGCTGTGCACAACTTCCGGGTGAACGTTGACAATAAGTGTCCATCTTGTTGGATAACGTCTACACTGCATTTCCGCTGAACACTGACAGTCGTCTTCGCTACGCAGGTAGTCGTAGTCTTTGTACTTACGTAAATCAACCTCATCGTCCACGTAAATAGTATCCGAGATAATCCAGCCAGACCAAAACCGTAGGAGTGAAATCCGCTCAACAGCGCGTATACACGAGCGCCCAAATCTACTTGATCCTGTTGAGCTGTTGGGAAAATAGGATCAGCACAGGGCGCATCAGAGATGAAAGAGCCTGCTCACCCTCTGGGTGTTCGTGAACAGATGCTGGTCGAGACCATCCGTCTTCTGGGTGATACGAGTGATGCGATCGTTCTGCGTATCCAGTTCGGATCCCATCGCAGTGCCCAACGCCTTGAGCCTCTTGGTCACGTCCATGATTTCATCCAAATTATCGTCGAGCTCGTCCTCCAGCGCATCATCGTCCTCATCCGCCTCGAACTGGTACCTCTTGCGCTGCTCCTTGCGCTGCTGGAGCTGTGTTGCGGTGCGGAAGCGGCCGCTGCCGCCAGCGATGCCCTCGTCATCGCCGCGCACGCCGTAGGTGGCCGCGCGGCCGAGGCGGTCCTGGGTGTCGCGGATGTCGCGCATCGCCTCCTCGCGGTTCGCACGCTCCTCGTCGTACCGCGCCTGGATCTTCGCCTCCTGCGCCGCGCGCTTCGCGTCCTTGTTGAACGTGATGACCGGGCGGAAGATCGACCGGTTGAGCTGCTTCAGCTCGTCGGTCTTGTCCGCCGCGCGCAGCGAGTAGCCCTTCGAGACGTCCAGGTGCCGCTCGGTGTCAGCGAGTTTCTCTACCCGCGGTGGTCAGCATCGCCTACGCCCTTGATCGTGATCAGCACGAGCGGGATAAGACGACGTACCGGACTGAGACCCGAGCTTGGAGACCGTGTTGCGGGCGGTCTCCTCAGCCTCGCGCGCAAGGCGCAGAGCATTACGTGTCGAGTTGACACTGTCCTGCTTGAGGAAGCGCATGTCCTGCTTGATCCCCTCCACATCCTCCTCGTTCTCCTCGCCGGGAGGCGGCGTCCCGCGCCGTGGCGCACCCCCGGTGGGGCCGTCATTGAAGAAGCGTCCAGAGCCCTGCTGTGGAGGTTTGTAGCCTGAGAAGAGCTCGTTCCGATCCTGGTTGATGTCGCCCCGACCGCGTGAGTAGGGATCGCCTACGGCGTTCTGGCGCACGTAGCGGTCACCACCGTAGTTGTTCTGGGGAGGAGGGGTACCAGACGGAGTGGAGTTGTAAGGATCGCCATCGCGACTAGCAACGTAAGTGGAGGAGGTCGAGCGAGAGAAGTTGCTGGGCGGGCGGGAAGATGTGCTGTTGCCGCGCGAGCCGAGGAGCTCGTTGCGCTTGGACTCCTCCGACTGGACGGGTGGAATCAAAGTCTTCTCTGATTTACGCCAAAATGCCATTGTAAATGTTCAGGAGGACGAGAGAGAAGGAAAGAAGATATAATGAGAGCTCTAGAGATGAGGGAGACGATGGGCGGTGGTAAGGAGAGGTTGCTGTGCGCGACTACCACAGCTTCACTTTTGTAGCAGACACCCGTCACGTGTACTCGCGTCTCAACCTGACAAGATTCCGCCGAAACCACGATCAGAGCCTTCTGGAGCGTAACAGGCATCGCAAACTTTGCACGAGGCGCAGTAGAACAGAAGAAGACCGCAGTTGCAGGCAAGGATGAGGTAAAATGAATGATAGGGATACAACACATGCACAGGAGATCACGTCTTGCCTCGTCCCCGCTTGCCCTCCGCTAGCTCCTTGCTCTTCTTCCCTACGACCGTGACGCCCTTCCCACTCTTGACTAGTGTCTTGAGCGCTGCCTCCTTCTGACGCTTTACGTCCCCGACTCCTCTCGGCCGTCCGAAGTTCTGCACACTCTTCTCGATAGCGTCGCGCGCCTTCTTATTTGCCTTTTTCTGCTTATTCCGCAGGGCCCTCTTCTCCGTCGGCGTCAGCTCACTGCGTGCACGCAGATCAGTTGAAGCGGGGGCGTAGACCTCTTCGGGGGCAAGCATTGTAGATGTCGCCTTAGTGGTCGGAAGTGCGGACTCCAAGGTGGCAGCGGCGACGTTCGAAACACTCGTGATAGTTGCCTTGGGCTACGAGTAGTGTCAGTCATCACGACCTAGCACGTCAGGAAGAAACAACTTACAGCCTTGGGAGTGAAGTGTGCGTTGCAGAGAGCGTCGAGCTTGCCACATATGTTCTCCCACAACTTCTCAATCTCCTGATGCTCCTTCTTCAACTTTCCATCGCGATCTTCACCGGCGACGCCGCCAGATTGAGCTGCGGCGTACTCGTCCTCGTAGATCTCGGCTAGGGATTGCTTGGACTTGCTATCCTGCAGCTCGAAGAAGCGTGAAGGGAGGAAAGGTTTGTCGTCCACAGGCCGTTTCCGCACAACATCGTCGAATTGGGTTTCGAGGATGCGCGCCTTGATGCGCTCCTCGAGGCTGTGGACGACCTCCTCTGTGATGACTGGGACGGACTTCATGATGCGCTCAAATTCCAAGTCCTCCTCGAGTAACGAGTTCTGAGGTCGCGATCGGGAGGTCGCCTCACCCATGAGTGTCCAGTCCTTCTTGCCGACGTTCTCTGCCTCCAAAGCTGCAATTTCTTCTCGTAGAGCAGCCATGCGCTTTTCATATGTGGAGAGACCTGACCGCGTACAGAATATAAGCACATTCATTGACCTCGCATAGACAAGCTGGACGCACCTTCTTGAGAATGTTCCTCCTCATCGGCGAAGAGGTCGTCTTTCAGTCGTTCCATGGTCGCAAAACCTTGCTCGCCCTCATCTTCCATCGAGGCATCCTCTGCAGTGTCCTCTTCATCATACTCGTCCTCACCAATGCCTGCCATCGCCTCGTCCTCGTCAAGCTCGACTCCCTCCTCATCTTCATAGTCTCCATCTTCATCCTCATCCTCTTCTTCCTCGTAGTACATCGTGTTGACGGGAAGGTTCTTCCCCTTTGCCTTGATCTTCTTCACCCTCACCTCCTCGTGGAAGCGCACCTTACTGGTGGACGGGAGGTCAACAGCTGGCTTTGCCTCCCTCTTCGCTTTCGGTGCCCTAGTACGGGCTGGGGGTTCGAAGAAGTCCTTGTAGAACAGTTCTGCAGCAACGCGTGCTTGGTTAAGTGCCGTAGCAGTGACAAGCGTTTTCCAGAAGACATACCGCCCCCACCCTCCAGATCCTCCTCGTCGAACGCCTCGGGGTCGTCCACGGAGGCGAAGTAATCGACCTCTTCGTCGGCGTCCTCCTCGTCCTCTTCATCGTCTTTACTGAGTCGGCCTCTGGAAGAACTCTTGGACTCCGCTGCCTCGATCTCCGCATTGAACGCAGCGAGATCGAAGAACCCGTCGTCGAGTGTAGGATGTCCTCCACCTTTGGACTTGAACTTGATTGTCCGCTTCTCGCCGTTGAGGAACGAGGGCTCGTCAACCTCCAGCTCGTCCTCTTCGTCCTCATCCGACGCGTCATGCAGCTCCTCCACGTCCTCGCCGAGTTCCGCCTCCTCGCCATCCTCCTCTTCATCTTCGCTCTCCTCTTCCTCCTCTTCTGACTCGTCCTCATTGGAATCATCTTCGTCATCTTCATCCAGCTCCATGCCCTCCAAGTCCGCCGGGTCGAAGCCTCCGTCGAGGAGGGCTTGCCGCATCTCCTTTAGCCGCAGCTCCTTGTCGTCCATACCGTTCTCACTCCCTTCCTCCCCGTCCTCTCCTTCTTGTGCAGGTCCATCAAGGGCGTAGTTCAAAACGTCGCAGACGGTCTGCGTGCGAAGCTCGAGCTCAGCCCATATCTGCTCGTCGCTCATGCCTTCTACGAGGAGTTCAGCGAGCGGGGTATCCTTCAGGAGGGGGATGTTGGATTCGGGAGCAGGAGATGGACTGGGCCCACGTTTCCGCTTTCGACTGCCGTTGGCATTGGCGGTCTGCGAACGTGTTTGGGGTGCATGACTCGGGGAGATGGAGGTAAGGAGATCGTTCACTTTGCTGCTCGCTTCCTTTTCAGTAGCGAGAGCTATATGGGATCCCTTATAAATGAAATATTGAAAGTTAACAGACGGCAAAACATACCGAGGTCATAGATGAATTTTGTTGCTGCGAGAGCAGCCTTCCGGAGGTCCTCACTGCCGGTGGCTAGTGCTTCAGGTCTCTCGCCGATGAGTTTGGACAAGTTCTCGAGCTCAGAAGGGAGGGAAAGATCCTCAGAAGCTATAGCAGTGCTATTCATCTCCTTCTCCACAGTCATAGCGTTTCACTGAGAGAGAAGGGGGGCCAGAAGGTATGTCCAAGACCATCAAAGGTTTGGCACAAGAGCGTTAACTCAGTCAAGCGCTCAATAATTTTGGGCCCGCAATTGAGCGCGCTGTTTGGCTTTGTTGATCGACGGCCCCATCCTACTAAGACGCTCCTGGTTAAGAGTCAATGCAGCAACACTATTTCTCAATTCAATTCCCGGTAGTCAATATACTCCTTTACATGCCAATCTATTCAGAAAACGGCATAGTCCTGGACGTCCTCGGACCTCAGGCCTTCTGAGCTGCCTTAAGCGCCGCGTCTATCACCTCTCCGACGCCCAACACAACCTCTTCCTGGAGAGTTGGTCCGACAAGCTGGATTCCCACGGGGAGGCCCTTGTATGCCTCCGGATCATCTGTAAGACGTTCAACGCTGTGCTTGTCGTACGCTGGTTGTCACCCTGGGTACTCACACATATTATAGACCACTTCGTCTTCTTCGCTCCAGAACGACTCCCGAGTGGGTTTGGTGTCCATAGCCGGATCCACCTTGGTCACCGGGATGATCAAACTGGGATAGTCCGCTGTGTTCCAGATGATCGTATATATGGACGACCTAGTAATTCTTATGAGCACCACGCATCATGCTCAACCCAGCTTGTGTACACACCTCGTCTGTCCATGAGGAACAGCCGCATACGGAGCGACGGGGCAAATCAGTGCATCGATGGGGCGTCCGGTGCCGGTCTGGGACACAGTCGCTTGCCATCGGTCAAGGAGTGCCTTCCGTAGTTCCTTCCTCTCCTTGTTCAGCTGCCATACCTTGTATGCGCTTAGCGGCGAGCGAGGAATGCGGAATGCAGGAACATCACTAGGGTCGGCGCTCGGGTCCATCGAGTTGATGATTGGCTCTCCAGTGGTCAGACATGAGTTGTAATCTTCGCTGCCGTCGGCGAGGAAGGAAGAGCGCTGATAAAGAAGTCAGGTCTACAAGGCACCATCTCCAAGTAATTGACGAGTTCGCGTACCGCGACGGCAACGTACTCAGCGTGTCTCAAAGACTGCCATTCTATGACTGGAAGGAACACTCAGGATGATGAAGGGTTTATAGCGGCTTGTGCAATACCCACAGCTGTGTCCGGCAGCCTCAAGTGCTCTCTTAGTCATCTCTAGGGCTCGCTGAATAGGGGGATGAGGCTTGACCGAGCCTTCATCCCACATAATGCCGAAGCACAACTTCTTTCCTTCACCGCGTGCCTTGAGAGAATAGTCGTCTTGTTGCCAAGGCTTAGGTACCGTATTGGGACAGTAACTCCATGGCTCTTGTTCTATGATGCTGCGAACGAGGGTCGTGATGCCGGAGAGAGACGTGCTCAAAGGTCCGAAGGCGGTAGGAACGGATTCTTGCCCGTCCAGGGAGTTGACGACGCCATATGTTGGAAGACGGTGGCTCGAAGGCTTGAACCCGTACAGCCCACAAAAGTGGGCAGGGACTCGTATGGAGCTATGCGGAGGAAGTGAACGATGAGCGACATCAGTATAACAGCATGTCCTGCACGGTGACTCACCCCCCGATGTCGGAACCTATGCCGAGAATGCTTCCGTGCATAGCGATCAACGCACTCTCACCACCCGAGGAGCCTCCAGGGGTAAAACGACGGTTGTACGGATTGAGCGTACGTCCGAAGACGTTGTTGTAGGTTTCACCCCACTAAGATGGATATCAGGACACTTATCAGCGGTTATGCCACATGCTTTAGGTCCATACCATGATCGTCTGCGGCAAATTCGTTCTCACGTATGGGATGGCGCCAGCTTTGAGGAGGAGTTTGACCAGAACGGCGTCGTCTTCGGCATACTTTCCAACCCAGGCCGCATATCCTGTGCATGAACAGGTTGAGCATATCCTATAAGACAAGGCATCTGCGATGCAAGAGCATACCCATGGTAGTCTCGAGCCCCTTTATTGGAATTTGGTCTTTCAGAGAAACGGGCAAGCCATGTAGAGGGCCCTTCACTTTCCCGTGCTCCTTCAGATAAGCGTCGAGTTCTGCGGCCCATTGCAAAGCCTTTTCAACATAAATCTCTGTAAGACAATTTACCTGCATGAATGCGTATCCGTGAGCTCGACGTACATCCTATTGTGAATGTCAGATCTACCGACCACTTGATGGGCGATAATGGCTCGCTTATAGAACGCTGTGGTGACCTCGACAGCGGAATACTCCGCACTGGCCAACCGGCCGAGGAGCTCTGTGACCTCAGATGCGCCAGTAATTTCCAGTTCCCGTTGCGTGAGCAGCCCGCATGTCTGGGGAATGTCGATAACGTTTGTAGTGTCCTCCGGGACGGAAGGTATCAACCATTCCTTCGGGATGGACGCCTTCTGCCGCGCCCGCTTGTCTGCGACTTGGTCCTGCCAATGAGTGAGCCTTACTGCTTCTGTAGTCATGGCCGCTCCGACTGTTGGTGAGGTTATACGTATACGTCCCAGGAATGAGGTGTAAGGGATGTGCAATAGAGAATACACAAGCAGGTACCAAGGTTCCCCGAGCAGGAGCTACATAGCTTAGTCACAGTGCAGCGTTGACTCGTTGCGAACCAATCCCGTGGTCTCACGTTCGGAATATAATCGATCATGAGTACGTCTAGCGAAAATGTAGAACGTGTCCGAGTTGCCGGCGGAGTGCCGTTGACCGGTTGAGCTAGTTGCAGTGACCGGCGGTCGGCACCATTCCGGAGGGCAGTTTATGTCCGGTGAACTATGTTCACGCTCGTAGGATTGTTGACAGCGAAGGCCGAATGTCCTGTGAACGTAAGTCCTTATAGTAGCAGCGAGTGCGAACAAGAAAAGACAAGGCTAGAGCCCGACGGCCCGCCCGTTCAGCGCAATAAGCGCCCGCACCGGCCCGTTTTGGGAACAATGGGAGCGCGAGCACCCTCGTTACTCGACTGGCAGTTGTTCTTTGTCGACGTGCGCTCCATTTCTCCCCGTCCTTGTCCTGTTATTGTTCTCTGTAATTCATGTAGACTGCTTCTTAGCATGGCTCCAGCATCGCCCTGTGCAGACTCACAAGCGAACCGATACTTAAGACCTCGAGAGCTGTCAAGCTTTCTGCATTGCTCCTCAGTCAACGACTCCGGACGCCTACTACTCAACCTTCTCTGCCGGCAGGGTTTACGCTCTTTACTACAGACGGTTCTACCTCCTTTGAAGACTTTCGAACGACATCATAACGCGCAAGCTCCCTCATAGACTCATTCACCATGATCGCTGGACTGTCTAAAGCCTTCCACCTCTACCTCGCGCCTCTGCTTTCTCTGACGGCATTCATCCTGATCTTGTTCTCGTACTTGGCGCCAGTCCTCCTCTTCCCGTCCCAGGTCTCACTGTTGACCGTATCTCCGTCCACGGCCTTGACACAGTCGAAGTCGAGCGATGGAGTCGATGGGCCGTCGATCTTTCTCGGTGCTCTAGGTATGTAGCAGTAATGCTCTCCCTACAACCCCTCTGGCCAATTCGATGACAAATTCTATAGGGTCATGTTCCCGTGCTAAGAACGATGCACCTGTGACCTGCACCACTCCCACTGTCTCGCCAACCTATGGTGCGTCTCTGGAGCATGGTAAACCAAGCGAACGGTCACTGACATAGACTCAGATCTTTCGGTATTGCCCAGCGCTGCCCCCGACTTGCTGACCGCACCAACGGCGACGACGCCCGCATTCATCGCCGTCTCGCTTGCGTTCACCGTCATCTTCTTCATCCTCTTCACCATGACTTCTTTCCGCGGCAAGATGGGCAAGTTCGGTAACGCCCTTGACAAGCCCGGGGTCCAGCGTGCGACCGCTTGGATCGGGCTCCTCGGTTTTCTCATTGGTGAGTACTGTGCGGTCGCGAAATGACTCGTCGTGTCCTAACACGAGCGTAGGCATTACTTCGTTCCTGGTCATCCGGATGTGGTTCGGAAAGGCGGTTGAGGATTTCAACCGCGGAATTGCTGAGGCCGGTTCAAGCGGCCCTCAACTGATCGCATCGACGACCAACGGTTTCGTCAGTGAGTCAACGTCATTTCCAATGTCTCACCAAAGTCTTGATTGTTGACGATGACATGCCAGTGGTCTGGGTAGGATTTGCCTTCTACGCTGTCCCTGTGGTGTGCTCCCTTGCCAAGCTCCATGTTGCGGCGGGCAAGGCATGAGTGTTCACGACATGAGTACTACTGTGCGAATCACGACCGTCGAACATTTCTTGGAGCTGCTGGTGCAGCTCGCATCTATAGCTGTATTGTTGCACATGGACCATTGGACACTTGGGACTGTATCGTTAGCTGTAGTGTATACCCCGTACTAATGGGATCCTAATTGCTTCTGAATATGTTCCTGGCCACTAGAAGTGGCCTAGGACTCAACTAATTTCAAGTCCCGGAGGGGGGGTGCCAGCTGGCAGGGAAAGTGTTTCAGATAGACGTTTGACCAGGAACTTCCACACTCCAGTGATCTTTTCGGCAATATGTTTGACTGTTGCGGCACTGTGTGATCCTTTATGGTGGTTGGTCACCAATATCCCCACTTGTGGGCCTTCTGGATATCTGTCAGCTTGCTTCTATACTTCTATGCAGCTATCGGCACCGATAGGACATCTGACCGCGGCGGGGCGGAGGGATGTTGACTGGCCAAATCTAGATGTGCTCGGGTCGGTCTCATTGGAACGTACTGGTCTATGTAACATGAAAGGACGAAGCGCGGGGTAACGCGCGCAACTTGACCGTGCAGCGCTATATTCCATCTCCCAGTCGTGGCCAGGACCGCCCGGAGGGCCATACACCATTGCAACTTCATTCACGATTTTCGCGAGTTGCTTCTACGATGCTGCTGTAAAAGGGAAGTGTCCGACGGTATGGTCTGGATCTAAGTCACGGTAGCAAGGTCGACGCGGACGTCAGGCGCGCGTCAATGTTCGCTCCGCCAACGCGTTTTGTTTGCGGCTTGACTTGTAGTGACTCGTAACATGTAACAATGGACCCACGATTGCAATTGGCCTCATCCTTGTCTACGCCTGTGCTGGCGCGTTCCTACATCTGTCACAACGGCCATGTTCTCTCAAGCAACCCAGGTTTCTCCGGCCGCTTCTTGCTTCGAGCAGCCATCTGGTTCCATACCCGGGAGATATCGATGGTATTTCCCCGCCTGTTCATGTGCCCTAAAGTCTCGCTGACAGTCACGAATCAAAGTTCCGACTTCTCTCGCGGGAGCTGCAGTTTCAGGTCGCAACGTCGGCTCTCGTGTGCCTGATTGAGACATACCTGGGTGTGGTGAGAGCAAAACCAAGTCATCTGCGCGTGAAGAACGGCGCACCATGTATGCGTGGTTGAATGGGGTGAGCGTGGTCTCAGAGGCTGAGCGGATGATTCTAATTGAAAACCCTGCAGGTCGACATTTTGGGATGTACGGAAGAAGCCTGATGATCCACGCGAGTCAGTGCTTCCTCTCCGCTTCGCCGTCCCAGTATGGCTCGCCGCCAATTTAAGCCGCGTCTGCTCCTCAGGTATAAGAGACATGAGCAGGACCGACAGATTTCTCCAGACCCTCGCGATATTTCCTCCTTCGACAAGCATGTTCGGTGCTCACAGTGGACGTGTCTCGCGCATGCTGCTACCCCTTATCGGCACGGCTTTCGTCTTGTCGGTGTCGGATGCTTCCGTAGTACCGAAAGCCCACGCGACCTCCGACACGAGCAAGGCTGCGCTCGACGACATACAGACTGTCACCGAACGCAGGTTTGCTACCATCGTCGGTGCGACGACTGGTGCCTCTTCGATCTCCACGTGGTCAGTATGCTCATCTTATCGTTAAGTATACCTGCGCATTTACCGACTGTCATAAATTACGATAGGCTGTCGACTCTACAAGCTAACGGGACGTGGCCGGATGTGGACTACACCGCCGGCTGTGATGCGCCTACCGCGAACTGGAAGGCTGCGACCCATTGGTCGCGAATTCGTAGGCATATGATCTCCATGAGGAGAAACTTGACGCTCACCTTCTGCGTTGGCATTGCGCACAGTCACATTTTCGTCTGCCTGGCATGGTGGCTTCAAGAATGCAGCACAATGGGTACAGAGCGACCAGGTCCGAGACGCCATCTCCTCCGCGATGGGATTCTGGTTTTCCAACGATTTTACAAACCCGTCCTGCCTTGACTCTGGAGGCGATGCTGCATGCCCGTGCGGAACGCCAGGCCTCTGGAATACCAATTGGTTCTCGAACGTGAGTAATCAGCAATCCACGTCCAAGCCCCCATAGAGTCATACTTATCCTTATGTGCAGGTAATCGACGTCCCGACTTTCGTTGGAGAGGTGTGCCTGCTTCTGGGCGACTCATTGTCTGCCTCGGAATTGGGAAGTTGCACGGAGATGACCGGCCGTAGCTACGCCACATTCACCACAGGTATCAACGGTGTCAGCGCCATCACAGGCGCAAACCTCCAGGATATCGCTAGCATCGGCATCGATGAGGGGCTGCTCACTGCGAATGCAAGCCTCGTTGCTGACGCTTTCAGCCGCGTGCATGCCGATGCTGTTATCCAGAACGTTACCAAGGCCGACGGCATCCGAGCCGACGGGTCGTTCGGACAACACACCGGTATCATATACAATGGCAATTACGGGAAAGACTAGTAAGTGGCTTCTAACACAGCAGTGGGACCGACTCAAAGTGACTCTAATCTGTGCAGTGAGAACGACCTCTTTGAATTTGAGATCGAGGCTGCGGGTACACAATTCCAAGCGGGTCCTGACACTCAGACAGCTTTGGAGACGTTGGTTGACGGTGATCAGTGGATGGTATTCCGGAACATCTTCACCAATGTCCTGCATTGGGACTTCGTGAGTTTGTTTACCTGCTCGGCTGTGACGTTAATTGAAGCGACCATATCAGAGTGTCTTAGGAAGGCTTTTGACCGATCCCGTCTCCGCTAAGCAGTAAGGAGCTACACTTTTCGCAACTTGTTTACTCTGACCTTTTGCCGCAGTGCGGACTCCAGCATCAACACGAACCTGACTCAGCTGCAGGTCATCGGGCAAATCTGGAACTCAGACACCGTCTTGGACGTGTTCAACAACCTCTCTCTGAACACGACCACAGCAAACTCAGGTAATTTGGTCGGCAGTCGTGTCTTTTACGCTAATGATTACTTTGTGAGTCAATCCATTGCCTTTCGAGCAGTCAAGGTTCTCATGCTGTGTGGCCTCTACTAGGTCCAACGTGGCCCTGGCTATGTCACGACCTTGCGAATGTACTCCACGCGGACACAGAACACCGAATGCACGGACGAGGCCAACCCCTTTGGCTTTCACCTCGCGGATGGCACCGTCTACACCCATATCAACGGCGACGAGTATGAAGATATAGTCGCAGCGTGGGATTGGAACCTCATTCCGGGCATCACCGTCGACTATGGGGCGACTGCGCTCACCTGCGATATGACGCGTAAGACGGGTACGCAGACTTTCGTCGGCGGAGCCTCCGATGGTCTTGTGGCCGCGGTGGCTATGCGCTACGAGACCCCGATCTCAAAGAGCTTGAATTGGCGCAAGACGTGGTTCTTCCTCGAGGACGACGTCCAATTCGTGATGGTTGCCCGCATAACCTCGAGCACTACCGCTCCCGTCCTCTCCGTCCTCGATCAGCGCAAGGCTACCGGCGACGTGCTAGTGAATGGCGCCACTGCCACGAGCGGGAACTTCTCAAACCCGAGTACTCTTTGGCACGGTGGCGTCGGGTATGTGTTCAACGTTACCGACCCCGTCACGCTGTCTGTCGATGTCTCTACCAAGACGGGGGACTGGTCCACAATCGGCTCATCCACGGAGCCTCCCGTCACCGTTGACATGTTCACGGCTTACCTCACACATAACGATATCACTGCCGACATCTCCTACCTCGTCTACCCTGCTACCACTTCCGATAGCTTTGCGACCAAGGCCGCTGCAACGGAGGTCCATGTGATCCGGAACGATGGCTCCATCTCTGCCTTGGTCGACATCGCACACAAGACGGCATATGGAGTCTTCTGGGACGCCGGCAAGTTCGCGATCCCGGCCTTGTCGTCTGGAGGAGCACCAATCACTGTGCAGTCGAGTGGAACCTCAAACATCATCCTGCACATGGACACCTGGACGGTGACCGTGGCAGACCCGACTCAGCTGTTGACCACTCTCACACTCAACTTCACCCTGGGCTCGGGGACGGCGCCGGCTGGGTGGGGTTCGTCCAAGACGAAGGCCGTGCAGTTCGCACTGCCCTCTGGTGGGATTGCGGGCAGTAGCTTGACGCAGACTCTTCCGTCTTAAATTGGTCCCTTCTTCCATGGTGCTCCCTTGGTGAGTAGCACTTGCGCATATTATGAGCATTAGCTGATTAGCCCATAGCTTTAGTTGGTACTCAGATCTATGTTTTGGGCTCAGCGCGGAATTGTAATTCTATTGACGTCACTATCTGTTGGTTGTTTTGGAGCTTTGCGACTGTTGATCGCGCGATACAAATCATTTGTGCGTGCCGTGTATGTGATTGGACCGCTTCTCCTTAGCGCTCTGGACTTCGTTCGCGGAACTGTACTGTCACGAGCTGTGACATTAGCGGCTACTAGATCATCCTGTGCAGGCCGACATTTGAGATCACGGCTTGGCGTTTGAACTTTGGTGACAAGTACTCGAGCTTCACATCCAAGGAAAATGGGTGGGAGTCTCGTTGGGTGAGCTATCCAGTTAGCCTTGAGTACTTGGACTGATGAAAGGAAGGTACATCCATATAGAGGTGCTTTCGCACAAGGCTACTTAACCCACTCTCTGCCGTCGTCCGTGGACGGTATGAGCACGGCACCACGGCACCTTCTGCTCCCCATCAATGTTTTGATATACCCCATTTCCATGAGTACAACGAGGGTTCTTACCTGCGCGGGCGGCAGCAGGCATGTGCACTGTGCAGTGCCTTCCTCGCCGATGTGCCAGGCGCGTGGCATCCGTCATGCTATATGCACTTTGTCTTGGCAGCAGCGCCTGGTCCTCATTCCTTTCGCTCTCATTCCTCTTCTTCGTGTGTTCTTTCTCTCCTCTCTTCGTCCCTTTGCTCGCTTTCTCAACGCCAGCTCGTTCACTTTCGCTGTCTCTACTTCCTCCTGCTCTTCTCTTTCTTCGCCACTCACTTTGACCGTTTAACCCAGCTGCTGTGTAGCTATGGCCATGACGCTCAGGATGCTCGTGCTTACTTGGGGAATCGCACTTCTTCCGACCCTCATTCCGAGTGCTTACAGCGCTGCTATCCCTAGAGGAGACCCGTCGATCGACTTGGCTTCCGATTCGACTGCAGCCGAGAGCGCGATAATTGCATCTATGCTGGCAAATGCTTTCAGCCCTTCTGGAACTACAAACTCCAATGCGGGATCGCCCACCGCACTGAACGACGACGCCGCATCAACTTCGTCTTCCTCGCCGTCTCAGCCCCTTGTTTCGTCGACGAGCCAGTCATCGAGTTCTTCGTCAGGTTCTGACGGTGTCCAGATCATGCTGCAGCGCAGGCTGCCATTGATAGTGGAGGATGTTCTCGGCACTCCTGATGTCGGAAATGTTTCAGACATTTCGGCATGGTAAGTCAAGTCCCACAAAAAGTCAGGTGTATGGAGCAATTAGAACGTTTGTTTTGCATGCAGGGTCTCTTCCCTCGGTGACGATGGCAAATGGCCCTCCTCCGAAGTTGACTACACTTCTGGCTGCGATGGACAGAAAGCGAACTGGTGTGTACAGGTGACATCTTCCTCGACTTGTGCAACGCTTACGAATTGTGCATGTCCAGGCCAGCTGAGCTCCACTGGGAGCGTGTCGGTAAGTTTCGCGTCAGATATACGTTTTAAGCAATCACAGAATCCGAAATATATATGTAGCCCTCATGGCTGCGGCATGGCACGGCGGTGTTGATGGAGGAGATGAGTTTGTGAACAGCTCCTCGCTACTCGATGCGACCTCGCGTGCCATGGACTTTTGGTTCAAGAACGACTTCACCGTTGAGGACTGCCTCGGTGGAAAGTGCGATTGCAGTAGCTCCGGCTTCTGGAACTCAAACTGGTTCTCAAACGTAATTCCACCCCAGTCAGCGAGTCAAGTTCCGGTCTTGCTTACGACTCAACCTCCGTAGACCATCGCTATCCCGAAGCTGGTCGGAGAGACCTGCTTGCTCATCGGCGCGGACAACCTCAGCGACTCGCAGATGGGCAGCTGCACGCACATACTCAACCGCTCCGCGGCGACTCTGCGCGACGGCGTCCCGGGTATCGGTAAGATGACCGGTGCCAACACGCTCGACATTGCCAAGATCAGTGTGGACTTGGGGCTCTTGACGAAGAACGATAGCGCGATCACGGACGCGTATACGGCCGCACACAAGGAAGTAGTTGTACAAAACACCGCGAAGACCGATGGTATCCGGGCCGATGGCAGCTTTGCTCAGCACGGCGGAATCCTGTACAATGGCAACTACGGGAAGGACTAGTGAGTGGAGGATGCACACATCCTGTAAGGCTTCAATTCTCACATATCTCAAAGTGCAAACGATGTGCTTGCTCTGGAAATCATCGCTGGTGGCACGAAGCACTCCGCGCAGAGCTCCAACAGTGGCACTCAATCTCAACAGGCGTTTGAGACCCTTCTCGACGGAGACCAATGGATGATGTATCGTAATGCTAAGACTGGTGTCGTTCACTGGGACTTTGTGGGTTTCTCCTGTTTTCGACCCTTGCGGAACACACTCAACATATTTCTGTGCAGAGCGTTCTGAACCGGATGATCAGCTTCCCGGTGGCTGATGACCAGTACGTCGCCCTACGTGTTGGCAGACCTTGCTCACATATGTATCTGACATTGTGGCGGGCAGAGCAACCGGCAGCATCAACATCAACGTCTCGCACATCCAGCAGCTCGGAAGCGAATGGAACTCTCCGACCCTCCAGGCCATCGCAAGTAATGTCGCCGCCCCTGGCGATAACGCCAATGTCGGGAACCTCACGGGGAACCGCATGTTCTATGCTAACGACTATATGGTGTGACACTCCTCCTTGTTGAGATTGGAAAGAGGCTGATTTGTTCACCTCACCTGCAGGTCCAGCGTGGCAGCGGTTACGTCACGACACTTAAGATGTTCTCGTCCAGGACTCTCAACACTGAGTGTATCAATGATCAGAACGTGCGTGGCCTAGTAATCCATGCACGATACTGATCTAACCACTTGACTATGCAGCCTTTCGGTTTCCACCTGTCTGACGGAACCGTTTATACGTACATGGAGGGTACCGAGTACGGCGACATCGCTGGCGCCTGGGATTGGAACCTCATCCCCGGCACTACGACCAATTACGCCGCAACCAAACTGGACTGTGGCAGCACTCAGTTCACATCCGGGGAGGCCTTCGTCGGCGGTGCGTCCGACGGCAAAGTCGGCGCAGCAGCGATGCGCTACAAGAACCCAGCCACGGGCTCCCTCAGCTTCCAGAAGGCCTGGTTCTTCCTCGACGACGACGTCCAGCACGTCATGGTCGCTGCCGCGAGCACGACGTCCGATCAGGACCACCCCGTCATCTCCGTGCTCGACCAGAAGCGGCTCAACGGCGCGGTCGTCGTCGACGGTCAGGAGGCCACGCGCTCGGGCAACTTCTCCGGCGCGGCCTCGCTCTGGCACGACAACGTCGGCTACACGTTCAACAAGCAGTCGCTCTCCGTCAACCTCGGCCAGCGCGAGGCAGACTGGCGGCCCATCGGCATCTCCAAGCTCGCCAACACCGCTGTCAACCTCTTCTCAGCGTGGCTCGTCCACGGCTCGGGCTCGGACCTCTCCGTGCCCGTTGCGTACACTGCCTACCCCGCCGTCAGCCAGGACGACTTTGCGGCGAAGAGCGCTCAGACGAGCCTGACGACGATCCAGAACGACAAGAGCATCTCCGCCGTCTTCGACGAGACGCACCAGACCGCCATGTTCGTGTTCTGGGACAAGGACGGCGGCTCCGCCACATTCACGCCTTCCGGAAAGGACGCGATCACTGTCCAGAGCTCTGGTAACTCAGTGGTCATGTACAAGTTGAACGATGGCACGGTCACTGTCTCCGACCCGTCTCAAAGTCAAAAGACTTTGCACCTTTCGGTCACGACGGGTCGGGCGCAGGCACGCGCACTCGACGTGGACTTGCCACAAGGTGGTGAGGCGGGAAAGAGCGTTACTCAGACGCTTTGATGAAGTGTGGGTGACTAGACTTCCTAGTCTTTGTCGGGACAATTCACCTGTGAGGCAGCATACATTCGATATTCTCGTCGCTCATTAGGGTGTTTCGACGCGCGTGTCTCCTTGTCTTACCGATAATTTTTTCGATATTTTTTGCATTCATCATGGATGGGATAGATGGTTGCATAAGACAAGTGGACGGCCACATGAGAGCACCATGATTGCGCGGTAGTAAACGACATACGACGTACAACAACTTAAGAAAATCAGAAGGCAGTGGGCTGCTCGAAGCTCTGCTGGAAGCTCTCCTGAGGTGGATACGCGGGCTCTTCGGCAGCAGGGGCAGGTGCGGCAACGACGGCGGGTTCGCGCTGCTCGGACGTGGGCTCGGCCACAATTTTGTCGAGAGGGGGCTCGATAATCTGAACGGAGTCGGGGAGGGGCTTGCGGGGACCGAGCTGACCCTCGGGATCCCAGCCCTTCATGCTAGGCGTGGAGACCAATCAATATCCACTTGTATTCACAGATGATGAATACGCACATCTTGACCTTGATCCCAAGAACACCCTGACGGAGCATGACGTGCCTAACGGCATAGTCGACGAAGTCGAGGGCGGGCTGACCAGAGTGAATCATGAAACCGTCCGTGAACTTCATGGACTTGGCACGGGCAGCGCGGAGCTTGCCAGACACGACAACCTCGCAACCCTTGGCACCGGACTCCATGACGAAACGGAGGACACCATAGCAAGCACTAGACAAAGATATGTATCAGGGGTGTTCGGGACAATTTTGAATGACATATGCTTACCGGCGGACAGCGAGACCACCAAGAAGCTTGTAGCGGAGGGACTCGCACTGAGCGATGGCAGAGAGACCACGGTACTGGACCTTCTCAGCGTAGAGCTCGAGGGAGTTGTCGGGGAACTTGAACCGCTTCTGGACGAGCGCAGTGAGCTCGCGGATGCGGCGACCCTTCTCACCCAGGACCTCCTGAGTATGGGTAGCACGGATGATGATCTGAGGAGAGGACGGGTTGGGGGACGAGTCATGAACCGATCTTTGAGACGGTACATACCTCGGTGCGAGCGTGGGTCACACGGACATCGCAACCGGAGTAACCCTCCTCAGAGAGCTCGCGGGTGAAGAAGTCGTTCAACTCGGCGCGGAAGACACCGTCAGCGACGAACTTGCGCTTCTTGCTGATCTGGGTGGCCATTTTGACGGTGTTTTGACTGGCGAAAATGGGGGAAGCGCGGTCAGCCTGGATTCAGCGTCATCTGACTGGAAGCGGGTCCATCCAGCCCGTAAAACGGCGTGTTTGGACGCAACGTCGAGCCAGCATAGTCTCTACGAGAAGCGGCATAACTACAATGCTCACCTGGTGGGACTGCTTGACGGTGGACGCGCCGAGGATGGCTCTTGAGGCGTTAAGGACGGGGACGAGAGCCTGTAGCCAAATCTGCGATCGGAGACCGGTACCAAATCAGGCAGGTGCTTCCCGCGTCTGGATAGGCGTCAAAGTCGTCCATAAATTTGAGCGCGACGCGTCTTGCAGAATGTGTTCTCTGCTTGCTCCTCAATCTTGTCCCTCGATGGCCAGTCGGACATTCCTAGGATGCCGTTAAGATGTTGCGCACGCTATGCATCCACAAGCCGTCAGGTGCTCACTGTGCCGCGGTTTGACTAGGTGAGTAGACATTCGTTTGGCGCAGTGTCGCGTGTTGCCCTTCCCCGCCGCAATGAAGAGTGTTGTGTATCAACCATACTGGCACCTCTTAGTCGACTCGAGGCTTTGCTACACGAGCTCTGCTCTGCTTAGTTTCGCTGACATGAATGACCTTCTGAGCTTCGTCTTTGCCGTTATCGTCTCAGCATGTGATGACATCTGCTGACTTCCCCGATTTCAAGGTTCGCTTCTGGTGAGAATCTTTCTGCGCATCGGCATGCCGTCCAGATGGTGATACGGTGTCCCAGACATCGTGAGCCCTATATCTAGTTCTGCTGTCCTCGCGTTCCCCTGAGTGTTCCTGTACGCATGAGAACCGTACTACAAATATATATTATATCCTATCTCCCGAATCCTGTGTGCTATCTTGCTGTCTTGTACCTCCCATCCCCCCATACACCACCTGGAAAAATGTCCTCGAACACAAGCTGGCAGGATCTCGCGAAGGCCAAGAAGCTCAGGCAACAAGAGGCACGTCCTCCTGCTTGGAAGCTGGCTTCGCCTCCAGAGTACGGCGCTCTCGACGTCCGGACGTTCCCAGAAAGTCCACAATGCGGCCTGCTTACGAGCCGTGAGATTGAGATCACGAATACGACCGACGTCGACGCTCTGCTAAGCAATCTTGCGACGGCCAAGTGGTCGTCAGAAGAAGTGACAAGAGCATTCTACAAACGAGCGATCATTGCACACCAGTTGGTATGCAACTATCTATCCAGCCCTTCAGGCATCTAGTCGTGCTCACTTAATAACAGGTGAATTGTCTGACAGAAATATTCGTCGATCGTGCTATCGAGCGTGCCAAGGAGCTTGACAAATACTTAAAGGAGACCGGGAAGCCGTACGGTCCCCTCCATGGCCTCCCCATCTCGCTCAAAGACCAGGTACGCATCAAAGGGCTAGAGGCTACAATCGGTTCGTAACCCATGTCCATGGCTGTTTTTGCCTTGGTCTGAAGGTAATCATTGCGCTGCAGGCCACACCTCTTGGGTAGGGAAGTACTCTGAGGACGATGCAGTCCTGACGAAGGTCCTGTATTCTTGTGGTGCGGTACCGTTCGTCATGACCAACGTCCCGCAAACACTCATGGTACGTCCCATCTTGACCGCCAAGCTGCATATGCGCTGGTTAAGCCTAACCCATCCTCCCGTGCTATAGTGGCCCGAAACCTACAACCTCATCTTCGGCCGGACCCTCAACCCGGCGAACCGCACTCTCACATCAGGCGGCTCGTCCGGCGGTGAAGGCGCCCTCATCGCTATGAAAGGTAGCCCGCTCGGTGTCGGGTCAGACATAGGAGGGTATGTCGCAGGTCGATCGCTTCAGTTAAAGGCGTTCCTCAATTCGCAATCCTCGGCCCTGCAGATCCATCCGCTACCCAAGCACCTTCAACGGGCTCTACGGCTTCCGCCCGTCCTCCTGCCGCATCCCTTACAGCGGCGCCGTAAACACGCTCGAGGGACTTGACACCGCGCCCTCCGTACTCGGACCGCTCTCGAACAGCCTCTCTGGGGTCAAGGCGTTCCTCAAGGCCGTCATCCAGAGCGAGCCGTGGGTCCTCGACCCGCTGGCTATCCGGAAGAAATGGGACGAGGACGCGTACCGGCTCGCAGACCACGGGAACGGGAAGCAGCTCTGCTTTGGCATCATGGCGGACGACGGGAACGTCATACCGCACCCGCCCATCCAGAGGGCGCTGAAGGTTGTGGAAGCGGCGTTGGTCGCTGCAGGACACAAAGGTGAGAGACCATCGCACCCAGTATCGGGGAGGCGACTGTAAGCGTGAACGTTTGGTAGTGGTACCATGGACGCCCCACAAGCACCAGGAACTCTACGACAACGTGGTATGCACCCTCCCTCTCGCCCAAGTCTGCCTTCACGCTCACAGCATCCTCAGGCGAAGATCTGGATGGCCGCCGCGGCGGAAGACATCAACGCCGTCCTCAGTCCGACCGGCGAGCCGCGCCTCACGACCATGGCCCCCGAAGGCTCCGCAGGCGTCGCCGACGTCGGCGTCACCTATGCGCGCACCCTTTCCGCCTACGAGCTCTGGCAAATCCAGAAGGCGCGCACGGGCCTGCGCGAGGAGTACCTCGCCGTCTGGCGCGACAGCGTGAAGTACACAGGCACCGGCCGCCCGGTGGACGCGATCATCGCCCCGGTTGCGCCACATGCGGCATGCCCGCACGGGAAAACGCCGTTTGTTCTCTGTGCGCATTGTGAATTACTTTGGGCTTAGTGAGGGTTGGCTTGCCAGGATCTCGACGTACACCGCCGTGTGGAACTCGCTCAACTACGCCTGCTGCGCCTTCCCTGTCACCAGCGTCGACCCGGTGCAAGATCGAGCACAGCCTCGCAGTGAGTTCTTGGGCGAGAAGGATCGGCGGAACTGGGAGCTATGTGAGTCCTTTGGACCCTGGTGGTTGAGGTTAAAGAAGCTGAATCCAATGTCGCTGTACTCAGACAGTCCGGAGACGTTCAAGAACGCCCCTGTCGGCTTACAAGTCGTGGGGCAGATGCTCGAGGAGGAGGCTGTCCTCGCCATGACGGAGATCGTTGATGAAGCTCTCAGGGCATACAAAACGGTGACGAAGGCGAAGTTGTGATGCTGGGCAAAAAGCAGTGGAGCATTGCACTGATGTACGAGTATACGACTGCGAGCAAATGGATCAAGTGCCAGAGGTGCTACATGTAGCTCTTAGTGGCGGGCTTCGTTCACGAATATGGCGGCACCACCCATGCCGCTCCCAATGCACATGCTCGTGCAGAGGAGAGGGGCGTTCCTCCGGCGCAGCTCCGCTAGGCCAGTGACGACTTGGCGAGTACCGGCTACGCTCAAAAGCATCAGTAATCATACGACCCTCGATACACATCAATACCCACTCATGCCCAGCGGATGTGTGAGCGCAATGGAGCCCCCACTGTAGGAGGGTTGGCCGTCAGCTCGAGCATTTACGTCAGTATATCAACAGAATGCTCACTTGGGGTTGATCTTCTCAATGGGAATCTGGAGCTGCTCGACGCAGTACGCGAACTGCGAAGCGAACGCTTCATTGATCTAGAATCGCAAGGAGGGGATGAGTATTTCCTCGGGCGTAACCTGAGCGGCAACACATACCTCCCAGACGTCGATGTCTTCCTTCAACAAGCCCGTCTGGGCAAGGATCTTCGGGATGGCCACCGCAGGGGAGATGCCCATGTAGCGCGGCTCCACGCCCACGAACGCGCTGGTTACATACTTGCCGACGACGTCCCACCCCTCCTTCTCCGCCCTGGCACGCGTCGTGAGGATGCAGAGAGCGGCTCCATCGCCGACGCCGCTCGAGTTGCCCGCGGTCGAGGCGCCGTCCTCGAGGAAGGCGGGCTTGAGCTTTGCGAGCGACTCGAGGGTCACGCCCGGTCGGACGGTGTCGTCTACTGAAATGACGGTGCCCCGGATCTCGACTGGGAGAATCTCCTCCGCAAAGATGCCCTCGGAAACTGCCTATAAGCTTATATTGAGGTCCTAGTAAAAGAAGTAGATGGTGTGAACTTGCCTTCGATGCACGAGTATGAGATATCAAGGCATACTCGTCTTGCTTCTGCCGAGGAACATTGTATGCTCGTGCAACCATTTCGGACGTCCACCCCATGGGCTGCAAAGCTGCCATGAGTACGGGAACGAGAATCGATAGTGAAACGACATGCCTGGACACAGTCGTGAGCCTGAGGCTTCTCTCCAATTGCGGGGACGATCTCCGGGGTGGGACGAGGACTAAATATATACATTTGAGTCGTCTGTAGCCCAAGGGGCTCCGTCATGCTTACTTGAGGGACATGCTCTCCATACCAACAGCTATTCCTAGCTCAATTTGTCCACCACGGATGGCGTTGGAGATGTTCACAATTGATTGTAGCCCGGAGGAGCAGAGCCGATTTACAGTGGATATGGGGACCTCGACTGGAATGCCCGCAGCAATGGCCGCCGCGCGCGAAACGTATAGTGGGGATGGCGGATGGCATGTCCCTAACGGGAGTTATCAGCACCAGTCTCTGCTTGCGGAAGGGGCATTCGGACGTACCGACACAGATGTCTTCCAGCAACGCGGGGCTGAGCTTCGTCTTCTCAAAGGTCGCCTATGGGAACAATCATGAGGTCACAACGGGGCAGAGACCTGCAAACGACGAGCCTTGAATAGAGCATGCAGCAGCTCGTCTACCGGCACATCCTTGAACTGACCCTTCTTTGCTCGTCCCATCGCCGTCCTCTTCGCGAACGTCACAACGACATCATCCGGTCGCTTCGCTAGGATTTCGGCGCGACCTCTGAGCTGGGTCGCATATCCGCGGGTCAGAGAACGCACGGGGCAACGAGCAGTCAGTCTGGCGAGCATAGTAGGATGTGGAGGTCGAGAAGAGAGACGTAGTGGACCATAGCTTGCTGAGCAAGGCGCGTCCCATCCGGGGTTACTGGAAGTCGACTGGCGTTCCCCACACTCGCGACGGTGCTATTACGTAGATCCGTTACCCGATCCCATGACGCGCGCACATGACTGGACGCGATACGCGAGTCCCCGGCGCCATCCACGTCTCTCAGTTAATACACACCTGCCATACACCACTACAGCCACCGTCGTAGAGGAAGCGGGGTCCACAGTCTGGTTACAGCCCCAAGTCGCGGGGATACAGCACAACGGGAGACTATGTATGTCGAAATTCTGCCAAAGTTCTGCTCGACCTTTCTGATGAAATTCCTCCGGATCCGCTGTTCGGAAGGGTACGTGCATTGGGGACTCTTCTGCCGCATGATCCCGCTGACTTGTTTGTGACGGCATAAGGACTTCTCTACTCCCGCCAGGAGCGCCTTGACTGCGATACTGGAGACAGAAATTTGGCACCCATTCCTCGCAACCCTCGCCGACCGGGCCACGGCAAGGGGGCGGATTGAGCCTCGTATCATCCTTATCTGCTCCCGACAGTTCTTCCAGGAAATCCATCATGGCTCATTCATGCCATCTCTCTCGTCATGCTGGCGCGTTGGCTTCTTGCGTGTAAGTTTTCCCCCATTTGATTCGCCGTCATGTACCTACCTTGCTTTGTGCCTCTAAGACGACCCGCCGGCGCGCATGTTGCCTCAGGCACTTCTGCTTCGGCTCCGAAAGATCTGAAACGGATGTATGGCCGTATACTCTTGCGTCGTATGGCGCAACCGTCCGTAGGCCGTATATGAGTAACAGAGAAGTGAAGAGCTCGTCAGCGAAGAGGTCCCAACTTCCAGCGCCAGAGTCATGGCTATCCTGCGCTTCCTCCGCTCCGTCATCTTAGGCCTCTCCTTGACGGCAGTCAGTGCCGTTACTGTCAACGAAACATCGACCTCGTTCAGTTTTGCGAATGATCGAATTACATTCAACGTCGTCAAGAGCAATGGTTACATTCGGAACCTCCTCTTTGACGGCATCTCCGTACTCGGAACTCTTTCCGGGAACGCAGGACAGCTTTACTCGGGTACGCACTAATGCCTTCTACTCATCGTTGCTAGATAGTGACGTCGCTGATCTGAATCGTCTGCCAGACTTCCCGTCAAACGTATTCGCACTTACGGCTAGCCCGACCACGGAGATTGTCCAAGGGCAGGACTACGCGGGGATCGTCGTCACGGACAACGACACCTCCACAGGATCCCTGTGGGTCTTTCGACTATTACACTGTATCTAAGAAGCCTCATACAACTTGAACAGAGTACAACGCTCATGGTTCCTCCGCGACGGAGAAACTGGCCTCCATTCGTTCATCCGACTGGCATACCACAACGCCACTGGCCCTTCGAAAGGTCAGTTGGGCGAAGTGAGGACGATGTTCCGGCCGCACGGCGGCCCTTGGACGACGCTCGTCACGAACAAGGAGCAATGGGTAAGCCGGATAATCTGGTGTCTCTTACTTCAAACTCATGCGATGCGTAGGCTCCCATACCTGGAGCACAGGCTTTCGCCGAAGAAGTGCAGGTTCAGGATGCGTGAGTGGTGGCACCATCACCATGGTCATGCTGCCCTTTCTCTGAGACACCAACAGCACGTGGTACCTGGGGCTCACACCGGACGATCCATACGTCCAACAGGTAACGAGTATCCTAATAGCGCTCGACCTTGTGTTTCTTACATAACTTCTGCCACGTTCAGGAGTCTGACTACTTCACCAAAGTGCTTCTGTCCTACCAACCATTAATCGGGATGATTAGCTAACGAGACTCGACCCAGTACTCCTTTGCCGACAACCAGACTAACAAGGCCCATGGTCTATACGGTCAAGATACGAACGGCACACCCATTGGTGCTTGGTGGGTGGTCAACCAGAAGGATACGTTCTTCGGAGGTCCTGTGAGCTACCGATTCTGTCAAGGAGCATGCGTCATAATGCTCAAACATGCCACTTTAGTTCCACGACGATTTGATGGTGGACGGCATCATTTAGTGTGTACATGGATACCGAGTGCTGCCCTCATACTGACTCTGTTTTATGATGGCAGCAACAAGCAGTCTACAAGGTATGCGACGTGTGCGGAATGTTTTCATCGGCTGACACTTTGCAATCAATGTGACCAGCCACGGCGGTGCAACGTGCGTATTAGCGGATGGTAGCCCTTTGAATTCGTCTCACCTAGCCTGGCAGCTCTCCAAATATCACAAATGGCTTTGACAGAACCTTCGGTCCTCAGGTTGGAGTCTCATTTGCCGCGCACATCGTACCTTGTCTGACTTCCGGCCGTAGTTCCTGTACCTGAACCGAGGGGAGAATCAGACGTGAGCGACCGCTTTTCATGCTAGGAGTCCACCGACTGACCACGGACTGACCATGTCTCCTCAGATTGCAAGACCTCTTAGCGGACGCAGAGCAATACGCCAACCCGGCTTGGAATGCGCAGTTTTATGACGAGATTGCGCCACACGTAAGGGCGCCCAGTTCTCCGACCAAAGCTCCAGGCTGATTGCGAGCTTGGTCGCAGGTGGTAGGCTACGTACCCACCTCCCAACGTGGCTCACTCTCCGCCTTTTTGAATGTCCCGCATGGAGCAAAGAATGTCATAGCCATCCTGAGTGCCAACGGCGTGCACTTCCAGGTAGGAGTGTCGTGTGCTGTCACTTACGACCGTGCTGATTTTGGTACGACAGGACAGCGCAGTGGTGTATGGCGCGTATCAATACTGGGTTACCGACGTTCAGAATGGCGTCGTGAACATAGATCGTGTGAAGGCTGGGACCTATCGCCTTACGGTCGTGGCAAGTGGTAGGTATCATTTCTTCAACATCGCGCGCGGATGACGAAACGAGGAGGACCGTAGGTATCTTCGGGGACTACGTCCAAGACAACATCGTCGTCAATCCCGGCAGAACCACTCATGTGAAGGCGACATGGATCCCCGAGTCTGCTGGAACTGAGCTGTGGCGAATTGGGGTGCCTGACAAGAGCTCGGGGGAGTTTAGGAACGGCTTTGAACGGGACTTGACGCGCCCCAGGCAGCCAGAGAGTGGGTACAGCGACAGAATGACGTCTGCGTGTGCTGACCCATCGCAGAGTACAGGATCTATTGGGGCGCGTGGGACTTCCCGACCGAGTTCCCGGGAGGGGTCAACTACACTGTTGGTAAGAGTGTCGACAGCAAGGACTGGGTGAGCACCGCCGTGCGGATTCTCTGACTTTCCAAGGCTGCTAATGGCGCATTGGCTCCTCTAGAATTACATTCACTGGTCGCAGTATGGTCCAACCTACACGAGGAATGAAACCGTCACAGGTGAGTTTTCAGTATGCATCAGCTCGGCGACGTCCAATTCTTACCACTGATTGCAGACATCAATCGCTGGACGATCAACTTCCCTATTGACCCACACACAGCGCGTAAGCTTACCAGCCGTTCCGTCGCGACGTTCACGGTTCAGCTCGCTGGTGCGGAGACCACCGCCGGGAATACGGACGCTGATCAAGGAGCATGGCCGGACTTCCCTGTACGGACCGTCTGTCTCTCATTACCCGTATGTTTGTGATGCTAAAGAAAATGTAGTTCAATGTATACGTGAACAGCCAAACCGACCCACTCGTATGGACCATCCAGCATTGGGATAGCAGCAGCTGCGGGGCGCGATCTGGTCAGTGCTCTCCTCTTTCGAGCACCTTCCGAAGAATGAACTGACACCAATCATTCGCGAAGCCATCTCTTGCCACCTGATCTCCAACAAGTTTCAGTTCTCTGGGACCCTCCTCCAGGAGGGCGACAACAGTCTGGTGGTATGTTGCCCTCTGCTTCGACGTTCTGCGTACAACTGGTAACATAACTCTTGACCGGCAGTTGGAGCTTCCTCACGCGGCTGCAGTGGTCAGTGTATCCTCAATGAGCTTCTGGCTGTGGTTCTGACGTGTTCCCTTGCAGTATGTTCAATACGATGCCCTGCGCCTCGAACTGCAATAATGGCTCTTCACATCGTCCTTTGCGGTGTCACTCTCACTCGTGGATCTGCTACCGTTGCCATCTCTTATGCGAACGATGTAAAGTCATTAGGGCACAAAGCAAGACGGCGATATATTCAGCTATGTACAGATACACAATCAGATGTTACAATCAGCACAAACCAGCAGACAGCAAAGGTGATAGCAAGGAAGCAGTTGGTATATGGCAAGCATCGAGACCCATTCCGTGAGATAATCCAAAAATCCCCGACGTCGAGTCGGGCTACATCACTCGTCAACTTTGGTGGCGTCGATTCCATTCTTGATCGCAGCATCACTACGCTTGAAGGAGTCGCCTACGATCTTTTCGTCTGCATCTTCAGCACTGTCATGTTCTTCCGCGGCGTCTGCCCTTGTGGTGATGAAGGTCCTAATCAGTCATTTCTTCTTCGTCTTCCTTGTCTTCTTCCTCGTCATCGCCATATGTCAAGAAAGGGGGTTGCCCAGGCACCCGCTATCGTGGTTCTCTATCAGGGCCTGCTCCGCACTTGGTGGGAACGGAAAGCACGTGCCTTGAATACAAACTTGCAGACTAGATATCCTTCGAGACCTCGTTCCCGAGAGCACTAAGGGTGTGTCATCAACCTGAAGTCGTTAGTGTTAGGACACCCGGGAAGTACATACAGCTTCAACTGTGTACAGCCCATCGTAGCGGTACCCTTCGGCAGGCGCGTATGGCGAGGGGAGCTTGAACCCGCGGATGACGCGCACAGGCTTCTTCGTTTCGCAGGACCTCTGATTCAAGTGTTATGAGAAGTAAAGACAGAGGGTGCAGATACGATGCACACCTTCAGTGCAGCATTGAACTTGTTATCGAAGGTCTGGTCGCAGCTTTGAGGGGCAGTGCGCAACTGCCAGGCCTGAAGGTCAGTATACCAAGCGTTCGTTAGGCAGGTTAGGCAGGAGTAACTGACGTTCTTTGGCTTGTCCTTTGTGCCCTTGAGATCACGACCACCCGAGCCAGTGTACGTACTGCAAAGTCATGGGTGCCATGCTACATATAGCAGGAGGAATGAGCATACAATCCGTCCCCATAGTCTTGGTCGTCTTCATAACCACCGGACAAAGCGATCGAATACGCGCCTTGAGGACCCGGAGAGATACCGGCGACCCAAGGTCTGTCATTGAATTAGCACGACGCGTGACGAGGGAGCACATGGGATGGCTTACGCATGTATAGCATCCTTGCTGCACGCTTCCCTGTTGATAGTTCAATACGTATCGCGCGTCATAACATATTGAAGCTCACCGCGTCTCCCACCAGGTACCGATTGGTACTCCCGGGATGGCTCCATAGGTCTTCCTAGAGACGGCTGTCAACTTCACTTGCTGGCCCAGCACGCAGTAGACACTCACGGATCGTGTAGCCGCTTCACTTGATCTCTCGGCGCGTCGATCATCGCAGCTCGCTGCGCACCCGCGCTGACCACCTTCGGAAGGGCACGAGCGGCGGCACTCGCATTGTCCCCGTTCTCATCATAGTTGGTCTTACTCCCTCTGTTCCGCGCGCTCCTCCGAAGTCCCTGCACGTTTCCATCGTCGCCCTCGACCTTCGCAGTCTTTTGCGCCCGCTCTTCTGCGTTGTCGTCGCCATTTGTGGGAGGCTCGTCGCGCTTGGTGCCGCGTTTCTTGGATTGGTCGAGGCGAGTTTTGCGTGGCTTCTTGGGTGGCGCTAGCGGCTGAATGCCAAGAGCGGCGAGCATAGCATGGTTATCAGCAATGCGAGCCCTTCTCTCGGCCTCATAATCCATTGTGAGACCGTCAAGTGTGGGGAGAACAGGGAGTGGTGGAGGCAGACAAGACGCGACACCGGGACACTTGGCGCCCATCCATCCAACTTAACGTTATACACACGTGATCGCGTATCTGGATTCTGTAGTAGCCGCCTCACTAGACAGCCGAGACCTCTGGCAAACATAACGGAGGATGAAACGAGACCGTATTCAAGTGCATAAAATGATAGGCGACGATAGCTACAACGAATGTATACTGCGCACAACGCGCAAGACTCCCCCCCCCCCATGAAGGATCGGCGCCCATTGGATTAGCGTCAGCAGAGCGGCTCTAGCCCCTAATATCCTGGCGTGAATTCTTGGAACCCTAGATAGTTCTGGGAGTAGCCTTGTGGAGAGAATGGCCTGGCATCGACACCCTCGTAAGTAGGAATCCGGAATGAGTGGCCCCCAAATGGGCTGGCGAGAGGGGACAGTGGGGGCGCCTCAAAAAGTGGCTGCGACATGGGGCTGGCCGTTCCGACAGAAGAAGAGTCCAGTCGATCTTGCGGCCGATCATGCATGTTCTCTGAGAGGCCGTGTGAGCACATGGAACATTCGGAAGACGGAGTATCAACTTACTGCCGACGAACTTGCATTTGCCCTGTTTCCGGAACATGCACTTGGGGCCCTTAGGACAAAAGTGGTTCATGATGCAATTGTCACCAAGAGGGCATCTGTTTCCTGATACACGGCCTCAGTGTCAATAGGGATAAGGTGACGACGACCATGGACATCATATACCATTGTTGATGGCAGGGCACGGCCACTTTTTGGCGTTAACGCGCAGCTCTGCAACCTGGTCAAGGGTCAAGGGGTAACTGTGCTCATACTTGCAGTTGTCCCCGTTGCTACACCTTGCCAAGTAGAAGAAGTTGCAAGGGGGAGGTTTCTCTGCCACATGAATCCCCTGTCAATGACTGCCGGCATAATGACAAAGAGACACAACAGAACTTACGCTTGTGAAGAGGCTATGTCAGACGACATTCACACGTCAGTCCATATGCTACAGAAGCTGACGACGCCCAAAGCGATATGCGTGCCTGATTAGGGTCAAGTTGCCTCGGCTTCTTTACTGGGGTGGCAGGCTTTGTAATCTGCGCTATTGTCACAGACGGGTTCCCCTGGCGCGCTGTCTCACTCTCCGACGACGCCGGAGTCAGAGGTTGCTTCTTGGGTGATTTGTTGAGAGTGGCCGGTGCAGCATTCGTAGCTGAAGAGGACGCGGCAACAGCCGCTTTCTGTTTTCCATTCGTCTGCAGCTTCTTCTTGATGAAGACGCCGTCGACCTCGAGCTGCGGCAGGCGGAGGCTGTTTATCTCGTGCGCGAGCTCTTTATAGCCCTTGAGCAGAACGACCTTATCCAGAAGGCCTTCATTCTGCAGAAGGTTAAGGGTCGAGGTGTATCCGTTATCGTGTGCACCTGCGTCAAAGTGAGGCATGCCGAAGACGCTGCAAAAGGGCGATATGGCGTACCACCAAAGAAGACCCTTGTGATCTGAGGGAAACGCGTGAAGACGCGAAGGCACTCTGCTCACTAGTTGTCGTGCAAGATCCAAGACGAGAGACACCATCACGCACCCTTTATCTTAGAGTCGGCTGCCTCCTTCCCGTTTCCGACGTCAACGATGGAGAACAGGGGGGACGCCTGATTGAACCCAAGGACAAACGCCTCGAACTCCTCCGCGGTGCACACGAGGTTGCTCGTGAGGGTCTCCAGCAGGCCATTCTTGTTGAGATAGATGGTCAACCATATCTGGCCACGCCCGGGGAAGGACGCTTCGGTGGGGTCGACAGACGCGAGGTAATCCGTAAGGCCCTTAGTGAGCAGTGCTGCGGCTTGCCGACCGCCGAATTGACCTTGCTTAATGAGGTCCGAGGAGAATATGTTCCCATCGCCATCGATGAGGCAGAGAATCAACGGATTGTCCTCCTGCAGCGCAGCCGAAGACGCAGAAGCGGACGGATCAACAAATAGAAGGGGGTTGCGGAGTGTCGGTGTTGAATCCCGGATCGCAGAGTGGCTAGCACGCACCTTGAGCGCGTCGATGCTTCGCTCGAGCTTGAGGACGGTCTTGTTGAGCACCTTCCTGTCGCCGTCCGCGGTCTTAAAGGCTTCTTTCCATACCGACAGCTCCCGCTCGAGCTCCTCCACCCGCGCATCGAGCTGCTCGTTTTTGGTATAAGTCTTCTCGAAAAGAGCTGTCAAGCGGCACAGTCCGCGCGAGAGCGTGCGAGCATACGGCATCAGTCCGCGACCCTAGGGAGGATCGAAGGCTCCCGCGGAGCAAACGCACCCGTCTGGTCTTCGAGAAGTCGTTTCCTGCAGTAGTGTCGCAGACAGTTTGAGCGCGCGGCCTCGGGGAGCGGAAGAACAATGGTGGGTACACACCAGACTGTGAAGTCCGAGAATTTCGTTACGTTGTCATCATCCATAGCCCTGTTTGACGGCCAGGACTGGTCTTTAGCTTGAAATTGTTTTGAGTTAGGGTGGTGAAGGTGTTTGCATGAGTGGAGGGGCGGAGTCAGGTTAAATAGTGCGCGGCAGAGTCGCTGCGGCCCGCAACCTCGACCGTAATTGGATCGGGCTGTGGATCTAAGCGCTCAAGCGCGCGGCTGCGACAAAAACACAAGGAATATATGACTTGGCCATGACGATCGTGGGTATCATATACGAGCCTCACAACGTACGTCCACATAGTCGGGTCGTCATGTATGCGGACTAGAACAAGATCGTGTTGCATGTTGCACCTGTCAGAGCTACGTACAACGTTGCTGGGATGCTATGATACAATGCCCTTCATGAACGCTGCCTAAGAGCCCGCCTAAGCTCCCTCCGCTACAAGCTGGGCAGTCCGCAAGAATAGTTCTCTGGCCTCGCTATCCCCGGAGAGGGCATTTGGGCCACCCGCTCTACTCCTCGCTTTCCTCCACATCTTCCACACACCCTGCAGTGCAGCTCGGAGGTCAGCCTCGTCCTCATTTTCGGCAAGAACGGCCCCGCCACCGATGCCCTCCACCAAGCCACCTCCTTCGATGTCGCCCACTACAGACACGGGCGGGCCGCCGGTGGCCACAGGGGCTGTCGCGAGGACATCAATGCCGTTCAGGCCCAGGGCGGGCGGTGACGCTAGATCCGAGTCATTACTTCCACCCACGGTCGGTGAGCTGTCCTCCTCCGCGTCGAGGTCGACATCGAACTGGCCGTCGAGCGCAGGACTCGGCGCGGGACTCTCACGTGGCGATATGGTTGACAACAAGTGCGCCAACGTCGTCGCGTCTGCGGGATCCCAGCGGGAGTTGCTTCGCGGGCGTGTCATGATCCCTTGCGGGATTGGCAGTGGCTCCGCATACGTGTCTTCCGACGGAACTCGCACGGGAACTGGAAAAGGCATGGGCGATTCCATCACCTTCTGGCTGTCTGCCTGCTGAGCTGCTGCCAGAGGCTTCCGACGGGGTACAGGCGAGGGTATAGTGGAGTCAGCTGTACCTGGTTAAGCGGTGTGAGAATCGAGTTTAACAAGGTTTGGCGAACTGGGCTCCCATGGCAAGTCACTTGCATGCAGACTACTGAAGCAGTTTACTGCAAAGGGGAGGAGAGCAGTCGATTGACAGTTGCGACTTACCCTGTACAGATGCGTACTGAGCCCAGTAAGCGTCTTCGGAAGACATAACGTCCTTGGCGGAGCCTGGGGTGCTTTGGCCAAAACGGCTGTCTCCTATATCGGTGGAGCCATACGCGTTCCAATAGTCATCATCGTCGCTGTCGTCTTGCAGCTCGTCGACATGAAAGGTTTGGGGGTAGGAGGACCTGGACAGGGGTTGGACGGAGACGTGGGTTGGGGGCGGTGGTGGAACGAGTACATCCTCGAGCGCCGCCCGGCTCCCAGGTGGGAATGGCATCAAGTCTGTGTTGTGATACTTCCACTCCCCGGACTCGTCCCACTGGAATGTGACACGGGGGCCTTCTCCGGAGTCGTTACTAATGTCGACATGCGCGAAAAAGTCTTCCCCGTCGAAGGAGTACTGGACAGGGTAGACGGTAGGCTGGTCGTCATCTAATGGCCGAAAGCGCGTCTCGAGGAGGTCGAGGACATGGGATTTCCTCTCCGGTGAGGAGGGCCAGCACAGGTACTCATCTGGTTGCTCTGGGGTGAGGTGTAGGAAGTGGTGGCGTTGTAACAGCGGTTTCGAGAGCAGATGCGGGGGTATCGGTTGCGTTAGCTGTGACGGAGGAGAGATGTACTGTAGGAGAACGTGTAAAACGTTTGGTGAGAGAGTCGAGGGTGACATGGTGGAAAGAAAGCAAACCGTACAGCAACCGTCCGTCGCGGGGGATGGGACCCATGAGTGAGCTAGGAAATACCCCGGGATGCGGGGTCGCCCCGTCCACTCCGGCATCATCATCTAGGCGCCCGAGCCTGGGCCGGAGCTTGCCGGGGGTGTCTCCCACCCTTACCGCGACCGTCTCAGCTGCAAAACGCCTCAACGCCTTCTCCTCTTCAACCTTGCACTCGCCTCGCTCCTTAACGTCCTCCCCTCCGTGTTACGAAACGATGCGCTACGCACACGTCCTCACTCTCCTGCTCCTGCCCTTCCTGGTCGTGGCACAGGTGCGTAACTCCGTCCAGCGATCTCACATTCCGTTCTCTTTACCTCCGCTCTTCCTCCACCTCAGACGACCTCCAACTCGACATCGGCTGCACAACAGAGCGCATCGGGAGGCACGTCAGGTAACTCCACGCAGCCTACAGCAAGCGGGAACTCCACCGCCTCCGCTACGCCTTCAGTAACAACCATTACCTCCGTCTTCACCACCGTTGTCCTCGGCACCAACCGTGTCCTCTCCACAATCACCTCCACAACTCTCACTACGAGCACAATTGCACCGCCTAACCAGAGTGGGGCATCTTCTGGAGCGTCGGGTGGCCAAAGCTCGACCTCCACTTCCACCTCGCCTCCGACCACTGCGCCCGCAAGCATCGACGGCGGTGGCAACCTTCCTAATGGTGCACCGAGCCCGGGAACAACGGGTGATGGAGGCATTTTTGGTCCTGGGGACGGCTACATCGCTGCCGCACTGATACACAACGCAAACCTGCTGCTGACTGTGCTCGTGGGCGTCGCAGCGGGCGCCGCGCTGGTGACGATGTAGGGTCTGGCGGCGCAGACCTACGTTGGGAGTGGTTTGGTGGGATTGGGGTTAGGGACACATCGCATCTTCACATTTTTGCACGGACATTCTTGTATGACCCTCATGGACATCTACCCAGTATTGTTATACGCGTAGTTGGACTACAGTATGCGTGCGGGTTTCATGCCCGTGCGCATCACGCTTTTCGTTGCTCTCTTCTCGCAAATAGCGTACGCTCTCATAGATCAGGATAATACAGCTGGTTGCGGAATTAATGCCAGCCGACTCCGAACGACGCTCGTGCACTTTCTGCATCGTAAAATGAAACAAATCCCATAAATCGCCCTGCACTATCAAACACCTAGATTACGAGGTACTCAACCCCTCTAGGTCTATAAGAGGCTGAAACATGATGAACAAGGGTGATTCACGACATTCGCAGAAGGCTCTTTGCAAGGACCTCACGGGCGCTACTTTGCGCAGGTAGGCCAGAGCAAACAGACAGGCTCTCAAGAATGGAAGAGACAGTATTTGGATGGTAATTCACCTCAAAGACAGTTTTGATGGTCCATATAGGCTATTACAGAACGTTGTGTGGCAAGGGTGCCTCGAGAAAACTGGAACTAGGTGCTACTTAAATGCTGCCTCTGCCGGCGTTGCATAGTGTTGATGATGTGTCTGCTGACGAAGTTCGTACTGGAAAGGTATCAAGAGCACCTAAACATACTTTGTTACAGATATCAGAGCGGGGAAACGACATTGAAGCCCACGAGAGTCACAATGATATACCGATGTCTGAACCTCTTCCGGCGCTTGATGCGCTGGCAAGAGCCAGGAGGCAGACTGCCTACTGCTCTGGCTAAGAACGTGTCAAATCTCCCTGTAAACCCACAAAACCTAGTCTGCATCAGCCACTACTTTTATAAGAGACGTTTCAAGGCGGTGCGCAGATGGCTGAGTGAGAAACCTCATCGCCCATAGGAAACTTCCAGTGATTTCTCTCGAAGGGCATAAGTCGGGAACCAGGAGTCCTACGCTCTCCATTCAAGTTCGTGAGGTCTCATACTCGCTTCTACAGAGATTATATGAAGTTCAAAGAGCACAGGGGAACAAAATGGCGAGTGCATGAATTTTTTGATTTTCTCGAGCTCTGTGATTTTCTCGTGGTCGAAACTGCGTCGGAGTTGGTCGGGCATAAATTTCGCAACCAGCTGTAACACTTCTATCTGTGCTTGGACTCGATTGCACCTAGGCGTGCAAAATCGCACAGTCGCATTAGCCAGTTGGCGAGTTTTGACGGTATTCCGTGAGAACCGGAGCTTGTCCTTGATCGATGTGCAGTCTTCTCAGAGTGCTGCAGGCCTCGCGCATTCGTCCTCTTTCCTCGAGCAGCCTACACCATCCCGATAGTACATTTTTGAGGACCTACATTGGCTACAGGACGATGTCGACTGGTCAGGAGCACCCCGCGAAGAAGCAGAAATTAGAGGCCAAGGTGCGTGCCGCTCTGCAGCACCCTGCTCTTCTAGACAGTGTGCCTCATCGGCGGTATTGTTGTTGCATAGGCGATTGGTACGCACAATGGTACATTCCATTGCGACGAGGCCCTCGCTGTCTTCCTCCTGAGGAAGACCAATGCATATGCGGATGCAGGTACGTATCAGGTCGTGCTGCAGCGGTATACATGCCCAACGCCTCCTCTTCAGGTCTCAAGCGATCGAGGGACCCGGCTATCCTCGATACTTGCGACATCGTCGTCGACGTCGGGGGTGTGTACGACGAGAAGATCCAGCGCTTCGACCACCACCAAAGGGGCTTCACTGAGGTTTTCGGTCATGGCTTCGACACCAAGCTCTCCTCGGCTGGTCTCGTCTATAAGTGAGTGTCTGCTAAGAGCACGGACATATACAGGTAGTGAACTATGCCTGCGACAGACACTTTGGCAAGGAGATCATTGCCAACACGCTGCAGCTCCCGCTGCAAGACCCGAAGATCGAGACGCTCTGGCTCAAGCTTTACAGAGAGTACATCGAGGCGATCGACGCTATCGACAATGGCATCAACCAGTACCCCACGGAGCTCAAGCCCAAGTACCGCATCAGGACCGACATCTCTGCCCGTGTCGGATACTTGAATCCTGCTTGGAACCAGTCCACCGATTCCGCAACGGTCGACGTGAGTGGTTTCCACCTGGCTGCTTTGTTAGCCGTTGAAGCGCAAATTTTAACGTTTGCCCGCAGGCCAAATTCTTGCAGGCCTCGGCGTTGGTGGGCAACGAGTTCCTGGACAGGCTCGGCTATTACGCCGACGCCTGGCTCCCCGCGCGCGACCTCGTAGTCGCCGCTCTGGAGAAGCGCAAGCAGGTGGAACAGAACGGCCGTATCATCCTCTTCGAGCAGTTCGCTCCGTGGAAGGTGAGCATGCACCGATCCCTATTTATTGTGCTTCTTACGATAGCGATGTAGGAACACCTTTTCGAACTCGAGGAAGCTCTTCAAATTCCCGACGCCGAGAAGCCCATATACGTCCTTTACCCAGATGAAACTGGAGGAAACTGGCGCATTCAGGCCGTCCCAGTTGCACCCGAGAGCTTCGAAAGCCGCAAGGCACTTCCCGAGCAGTGGCGCGGTGTCCGCGATGACGATTTGTCCAAGCTCTCCGGGGTCGAGGGCTGCATCTTCGTCCACGCTAGCGGTTTCATTGGCGGTAAGTGTCTCGGCTGTGCTTTCTAAAAACGGGTAACCGACATATTTTGTCAGGCAACAAAACCAAGGAAGGCGTTCTCCGTTTGGCAAACCTCGCTCTCGACATGTGAGACGCTCTGTGATCTGAGGCGCAAGGAGAAGGGGGTTGCGATACAATGGAGGCTTCTGACGTGCAATCGACCTCCAGTAGGTCGATCTCAGCGCCATGCTGAGTACAACTGTCTTGTGACAGTTGCCATCGTACTTGGACGGTACGCACGCAGCCATGCGCTGCGGAACCAGCCAAAGGCTGGCCGAGGGGAGGGCGCTCTCGATGGCCTCCGGGCCGATCTGTACCGAGGGTGGCACCGATGTGGCTGAAGCGAGACTCTCGCCCAGACCACTCCTCCCTCTTGGTTCCTGTCTGTCGTCTCGAACTTCTTGTACTCGTACTGTCTGCTATGACATCGTCATCTTCTACTAAACCGAGGGTGTTGTTAACTGCAAGTGCATCTGTCTAACCGTTTGTGCGCTCGATCCCGATTGACTGAAGGCGTACTGAAGAACGACGACGGTCCTCCCGGTCATGAGTCGCCCTACATCTACGGCTTGTACCGTCACCTCACACAAGATCTAGGTAGTGTCTTGAGCAAAGGAAGAGAGACTTTGGTGGCTCATGGTGTGCGTCCAGGGTGGGATGTGAAGGTCGTAATCCCCAGCTCGCAGAAATCATGGATCGGTACGTCTTCAACTTCCTCTATTCGGAATCATATGCGACGTTGCACATGCTGCAGGAAAGGCATATCATATCAAAGATATCATTACCGGTCGCTACTACTACCCAAGAGATCCCGGTACGCATTCTGAGGAGGCTTGTTCAAGGAGACGTTTCATTGGCTGTGGCAGATGGCGAGGGGGAGATATCCGAGACTTCTCGTCCTCTGAAGGACGGCGAAGTTGGAGAATGGGTCCTCTTAGATGGTGTATGCGGGCTTCTCTCTCGTCCTCGTATGCACAAGCAGTGTGCTGATACCACCTGCCTTCTACCAGACACCTGCGACCTGTGCTAACATAGGCCTCCACAACCTCTACCATGGCGACATCGACCTTCTGGTTAGCATACTCCCCAACGCATTGTCATCGAAAATCATTGACACTATCTGCAGATCTCCGGACCTAATCTCGGTCGCAACAGCTCCGGTATGACACTAGCCTACGCAGCTCACTCACCGAGCATCGCTAAAGAATCGTATGGCGCTATTCCCAGCTGCATTTGCGCTCTCCTCCGGAACTATAGGCGCAGCGTTATCTTCTGCGTTATCCAAAATCCGCTCCATCGCTATCTCCTACGGAACGGTTCACCATCCCACCCCACTGAATTACTATGATCCGGCCCATCGCCTAGGGGCCCGTATCATCAAACACTTGTGGGACAACTGGGACCAGGACCAGGGCGGGCTGCGGCAGGGCGAGGTTGACCTCTACAACATCAACATTCCCATGATCGAGGGCCTCCTCGGCGACCCAGGCCTCCCCATCTGCTGGACGCGCATCTGGCGCAACTCGTATGGTCGCCTGTTCAAGGCTCACAAAGAGCGCGACCCTGCGGCGAAGAAGACCATCTCTGCGGCAGGGCCCGACTCCCCTGACGAAGATCCGAAGGGCACTCGCACGGGTATCGTAGACCAACAGACAACCCCGAAGGACGTCGGTGGATTGGTGTTCAAGTTTGCTCCTGACATGACAGACCTCATCAGCCCTTCTAGCGTACCTGTCGGCACAGACGGATGGGCCATTCGGAAGGGATGGGTCAGCGTTACGCCTATGCGTGCCACATTTGCCGAACCGATTGATTGGAATGTAGAGTCGGAGGAGGAAATCGAGAAGACGAAGGTATGGAAAATGAAGCTGTAGAATATACTATATTGCTAGCAACATATGCGTCAAAATCTTGGGAGTCGACCTGTGCCAAACACCGATCGAGCGTCTTAGGCTGTGTCCTGGTAAAACAAAGTGTTGTACAGCATCTATTCGTTCAGTGTCCGTGAGAGTACATCTCGACATTAAGAGTCGTCAGAAATCGTGAGCTGAACCGTACTGCGGCATCTATGAACGCGCACACGGTGATTACGTAGTCCTCTGAGTTCGTCGAGAGGTAGAGTCACGGAGCTTGAGTGTCATGGGGCACACGCGCAGCATCCGCCCTCCACAATCTACAGAACCACGAGGGCGAGCATGGGAAGCGCAATTCCCAGCCAGATCACCTGGTGAAGAGCAGGTACGGACGTCTCCCTCTGTCCGCCACTGACGAGGCCCGTAAGGGTTTGTTTCCGATACACCTTCAGGGTATTGATGCTCCAGGACGCGTTCTATGAAACGCGGATGTATCGATCAGCCTCGGAACACAAGTATGACGTGAGCGAACAGCAACATACGACGAAGTTGCTCGGATCCATCAGGCGATCCGTACACGTCCCGGGACAGCCAGAGGTGGCGTATGAGTTGCCTGCCCAATCGCCTGCAGGAGAGATAACCGGTAAATGAAATCAGCAAGGCCCGCCCGAACCTTTTGAGTTTGCCCGTTTGCCTCACCGCAGAAAGTGATGTCTGCAGAGCCACGTTCGCGATCAGCCGAGGACACGAAAATGAATGGGCGCGAAGAAGCACTACGCACCGAATACAATCGAGTGGTTCACGAAGTTCGCGATGGGGTCACACCCGCTCGGATCCAGCATCGCGACAGGCTCTCCCCAGTTTGAAGGATCAGGATTGCCGGAGAGGACGTCGGCTGGGACGGCCACGCGATAGAACGACCCTGCACGAGGGTGAGCATTTGATGGCGTCACAGCGGGGCGTGTAGACGTACAGACGGCGATGCCCTGGTCATCCCACTTCATGGCAAACACGCCTCCGCCTTGGGCGTCGAAGACTGGGCCATAGGACGCCCGACTCCATTCGGTGACACCGCATCCGGCGTTGTTGTTGAGCGTCCCGTCGCAAAGCGTATTGGGCTGCCCGTTTGTGGTCTGTGGAATCCTATCAGCATCAGAGCATATATCGCGCCCACAAGGACATACAACCACGGTGCCGGTGAACGTCGCATTCGTGTTCAGCGTGCAATCTGTAGGTATGCAAAATCAGCGATGTGAGAGCGACACATTGCTGAAATGAGTGGACTTACTGGGGCCAGTATGCCATGTCACCTGGTTGTGTGCGTTATCGTGCACGCCCTCAATGATATCAATCTCGCCAGTCTGTGGGCTTTGACGTCAGAAACCGTTGAACAGTAGACAATACTATATTACTGACGTAGGGCCATTGACCACCGCCCAGTGTCCACCAGGCAGGCCATACACCTGTTCGCCGCTTAGCAATTAGCCTGATACAAAGAAACTGTCCTCCGACGTACCGCAACCCCAAGGGGCGTGATTCAGGTCCAGGATGAACAGACCTGCCAGTACGTCAAAGATCGTACTCGTTGACAGCTTGGATAGTGGCTCACCCGTGTTGTATTGTTTCTGGCTAGAGATACGCACGCTGGTAAAGTACAGGACGTGAACTACCGTATGGGCAGAAGATGTACGTCCCAGACTGACCTATTACGGTAAACTCCTGAAGCAAGCGTGGTGGTGTCGTCTCCTTTCATGATAACTTTGCCATCGTCCGTGATGAACGTGAGATTATTCGCAAGGGCCGTCTCCCGGTCAGTATAGCTGGGAGTGAGGCGAGCGCGAGGGAGGGTAATAGGTGAGGCGAGAGTGTATGACAGCAACATAACGGGCACTCACTTCACCATGCCACTACAAAGAACATCCCGAGTCAGAACGCTTCACGAATGTTCAATTGGGGAGGAGACGTACTGTGTAGGATCACTGCCCGTGAAGAAATCGAACGTACTGCAATACGTTCCCGATCAGTCGACGCCACCGAGGCGGCTTTGTAGCGGACGGACGCACTCAAAAAAGGTCTTCCCCTCATACGTGTCCTGGATCGTCCAAATGAAACTCGACCCGTTGGTGTCTGTCTGCAAGTTGTTTGCCCGGCTGTCCAAGGAGACACCATTGGTTAGACCGACATGCTGCAAGAGCAAGAGCAGGCCAGTCTGGGCAAAGGACTGCCCCGAAACCGAACGAGACGAGCCGGAAGCAAATCCGATAGCGGAGAGCAATGACAGAAGCGTCAAAGGAAGGACAGAAAGCATTACAATCTAAGCAAGAGCGGAGTACTGGTTGGGAAACCCTAGCAGGTGCCGGCAGGACTGCTTATATAGCCGAGACGAGAGAAGCTCGTAGATCCGGAACACCAGTTAATGAAGATGTTCCACGGCGCCAGGGACCTGACATGCGCCGCAAGACAGCGTACCCCTTCAAGAACAGCGAGGTAGGTGTACTGACGATCGTCCAAGAAAGCAAGCCGATGGTTGCCTATACGTCGAGCTCGACGGAGGGTTTTGATCAGAGTCGCCCTTCGCGCTTGAGGATCGTCCGACTCTGCTCCGATTACCCAAGAGCCTGCAATTTGACATGGCCGTTTTTCGTGGCCCTTCGCGACACTCCCAGAGCTGCGGGATGGCCGGCTCCACCCAATGACTGTGAACGTGTCTGGCTCGTGGTGCTCAGGCTTTCTCAAACAGGCACGTTGCCTGATCGTCCAGCAGGATACGCCGCGGCACGACTTATACTTAGACGTCGTTTGACGCAGAGGTTCCGATGACTGAAGCACGCTACAATGACCAGCATCACCTGATCAAGGAAAGACAGTACAGGAGGCGACGACCTCTTTTGGGCAAGCCGCACGGAGACATACATCCATAACGAGCATGAGAGGACATGAGTGCACAGTGTGATATAGCGGGAAGGAGACGGAGTGTATGACAAAACAAGTACAACGACAGATCACCGGTAGCGACGGAGGCTGAGGGTGTTGTGCTTCTTCCAAGTCGACCAGCCCGGAGTGTGATTGTAGCGGTGACCCTTGCCAAGACCGCGGTTCTGCATAACGAATGTGTATTCAGTAGCCATTCCGGCCGATTACCCATACTGATACGGACCTGCTTGCCAATGGAGGTGAGACCACGAGCCTCGCGGTGCTTGTGGACAGGCTTGGTGATCCAGTTGATTCTGGGGTCGCGGCGGATCTGCAACATTGTGAGTACAAAACATGGAAAATGAGAATCCAACGTGTACTGACAGCCTTGTGGTTGGGGTCGACGAGGATGACCTCGTAGTACTTGTAAACGCCGTCCTGGTTGATCCAGTAGGAGTTGAGGACACGGAGGTTACCGCACCTCCTGCCAACACGCTCCTCGGCGACACTCCTCAAGCCGCGCTGAGGCTTGATCTGGTTGACACCCTGACGAACGGGCTTGCCGTAGGTGGCACCTATACAAGGCTTCAGCGACCAGCTCCCTTCTCCGCACAGAGATTTTGCGCACCCTTGGGAACGTGCTTCTTGCGGTTACCGCGACGGACGCGGACACGGTAGATGACATAGCCCTGCTTAGCCTTGTACCCGAGGCGGCGAGCCTTGTCAGGGCGGGAGGGGCGCGAAGCGCGGTGGATGACGTTCAGCTGGCGGTACTCCCAGCACCTAGCATCTTCGTCAGGATGACGGTCGTTCGACTATCCAACGCAATCGCAACGCACCGGACACGGAGAAGGAATCGGAGGACATCCGACTGCTTCTTTTTGTACAGCTCGCCGATGTACTTGTAGGCTCCCATCTTGCGGGCTGAGGACGAAAAGTCAGTCTCAATATCAGACGGGCCACATCCAGAGGCCCAGTCGCCCATCCACCCTCTTCTCGCCATTCATTCGTTCCCGGTATCGAGTAGCAGCATCTAGGACAACTCCTATGCAATCTGGTGTAGATTTCAGTGCTCACCTCTTGAGTCTTGAGGATAGTCGGGGGGTCGTCGAGCTGCTTTGGGTACTGGCAGGCCAACGGCTCCTGCGTGGATGATCGGAGAACGCCGAAATGACCACGTGCAATTCCACAAGCGACCGGCGCTACAGTCTCGACGCGCCTTCAGTACCGCCGACCTCGTCCACTGGCGCGCGCAACCCGCACAGAAGATGTCGGGCGAACCGCGCGAGGCCATCGGAGAGCATCCATGCGCTACTTACCCCAAGATGGAAAGCTACGATGCCATCAGAATATGTAGTGCTGTCCCTCAAATGTGCTCTCTCTGGTGATACGCGCAAGCTGACTAGCTGTGAATGCGGGAAGTGCAAGATGATGGGATGTTGCTCCAAGGAGCTCGGTTGTCGTTACTTTGCTAGAGGCCAAGGATTCTCTGTTGACCTATACAAATGTCAGAATGCAGCTGGTAAGCGTCGCCTTCGATTGCCACGCCCTCCCTCTGTTCAGCGCGGCCTGTCACAAGGAAAGCGCACAAAGCCATTCGCAAGCAGCACTCATGACCTTCTATACTGCTTCTCAACCCTGCGTCCATCAAAGTGGCCAGGAGACTGCTTCAGGATATCGACCTGATGAGCAACGTCGTGCCCTCTTCGTTGTGTGCATATAGCGAGCTGTATCAATCCTGTTCTGCACTGTCGACTATACATGTGCATTAATCTATCTGTGAGAAGACTACAAATACAGTGGTAGTCCTAACCGAGTGTCCGTCAATAGGCATCACAAGCAACTTGCCCTAGCCTCCCCGATCCTCCTTAGATCGTAATCGATACCATGCCGTACCCATGAACAGCACCCATGCAGACGCAATGAGCATCCCTGACATGATCGCGAAGACCTCTCCTCTCCCGACTTCGCCCCTAGTCCTTCTCGTTCTCCTGGCCTTCACCGGCCGGTCATCCGTACTCCCCAACACGGCCGCATCGTTGAAATATCGACTGCCGCGCGGTGTTGACGTATGCGCACCGCCTCCTAGTAGAGGGATGTTTTGCTCTGAAGATGACGGTGAAGCACGGGGTAGACGAGAGAAGCTACTTCCTCTTCTCATATGCGCTGGTGAGTCAGCGGAACGTTCTGTCTGCCAATCGTCTCCGCCCTCTGTCCTTGCGGGCTTCACCGCGCTATCTTCTCCCTCGCTATCGTCTGGGCTCCCGGGCAGATTGATGGTGCTCGCGCGACGGACGACCCTCTCCTTCTGTTTGTGGTCTAGGTAAGCGAGACCGACGATGGCGAAGACCTCCAGAACGTTGAAGAGCACGAAGGTGTTGAGCAGATACTGCACGTCCTCGTCATCTTGATCAGGCAGCACCCTCTCCGTCGGAGGCTTCTTGATGTCCAGAGTCAGGCCTGCAAGAGTCTGGAAAATCGTCGCCCCAGTCTGCTCCAACTTCACAGCATATTACAAGTCGTTCCGGATAGTCAGGATACTGAAAGACTTACCGCTTTGTGCGCGCCCAATGTCGTTGACACGTATTTTGATGGGACAATACGCGGGACCATGACCACCAATAACACTGTTTGACCCATGAGTACATAGCTGCTAGGGCCTTACCAACAATGACAAGCTTACGTGGAGAAAACCCATTTCCGAAGGCGAATGAAGCAATAGCAGGGATAGGCGTCTTCGTCCAGGACGGGGGTAAGGCGAGCCAGACGTAGCAGCCTAGCGTTAACAGTCCCGACAGCAAGAACAACTGGATGACGAAGTTGCGTTTCTTCACCCGGTCCACGACGAGCCCGGTCTGCAGGCAAAATAATCAACCACCGCAAGGTTCGAGTATGTTTGGGATGTCCAAATCCGGATACTGACAATGGGGTAGAGCAGGACGCTGCCAGACAAAAGGTACGACGCTTTCATGCTTGCATCGGCTTCAGGGAGCTCAAATCTACGCTGTAGGATGTTTCTGAGGGGTGTTAGTCGAGAACTACTGTGAACCGTGCGGGACAAACTCACGCCGCAAGATGGTGGAACGGTGCCCAAACTGTCCCACACAAAACGTTAAGGCCGATATATCTAGTTGTTATGCTGAGCCTCTCCCTCCTGCAGCAAGCCACGAATGCTACTCACGCCCAGAAGACATCACCGAGCTTGGTGATGTCCCTCAGGTAGACCATCCGCTTCTTCGCGACCTCCTTCAACGCTTCGGCCTCCGAAGAGATGCCCGACGCAGCGGCCGCTCTCGACCGAGCCTCAGCATTCAGCTCCGACGCCTCGAGCTCCGTGCCCGACTCCCGGACCAACCAGCTGGAAGCGAAGAGATATACCAGGTTGATAGTGAACGAGAACGCGGTCAGGGCTGCCGACGCCACGAATGGCGCGCTGGGCCCGAAGCGTTGCGAGAGGGGATACGATGTAAGCGCAGAGATGAAAGAGGCACCTTTGCCTGCGACGAGACCGAGGGCAAGCGATACACCGAGACCATGCGACTTGAAGAAGCGTACGATGATAGTCTCTTGGACGACGGCCAATGGGCTGACACCAAGGCCGAAGATGAACATTCCGAGGGCCATCACACGGACACTGTCCGAGAGATGTCCGACCAGGAGGGTTGCTTGACCTTGTGTAGTAGTCGTATAAGCGTCGTCCCTTCGTCCTTGTCAAATATACACACCTAGGAAGATAACTCCAGTAGCCATTATACTCGTGAATGTCGTCCCGAGGCGGCTAGCGAGAAGCCCGCCTACGAGTGGTGTCCAGGTGCTGTTCAGGGAGAACGCGGAGATGAGGAGGGAGAACTCGGTGTTGTTCGTTCCCATTTCTCGAGAGAGACGGGATTTGAGAGGGCCAAGGATATACGTTGCACTGCGCACGATGAGAACGTGTATATACAGTAGGCAAGAGCATGCGTACTAATGACTCCCGACACTGAGTGAACATGCACACAAGAGTGCCAATGACCGGATGAAGTATGCTCGCGAGGGTGTGGGAGGATTACGACCCTCGTGCAGCAATACGACATCGCCGCTCTCATCCACAATGTCCTCTATCGTACCGTCCGCTTGCTCGTCCTCCGGGTCTGTGTCGCGGAGAAGGGGCGTATGTAAGGGAAGTTCAGGAGCGGACATGAGAAGACGAGGAGCACTACTGTGGGGGCCGCACTGCGGATGTATGGCTCTACACTCGCCCACACCGCGTGAAGCGCCAGATTACAGAGGTTGGGGAACACGGAGAGGATGAGCACATTACCGCCACATTCCCAGCGTGTTCCCACCACATTCCGCAGGTTTAGAGGATGTCATGGTATTAACTGCCTTCCCCTCACATTCCGACCATGTTCCCCACATATTACTTAGACATTCCGCACCCTGCGTAACATGGGATCAAATGGGATATACAATTTTGTATCTTATTATTCATATCCATTTTTGGTGCCCAGCTTGGCGCTTAGTATTCGTCCCGATATTGGCAGCCAGATTGAATTAGATCGAAATGAATATATATTCAAATGGCGACTCTCCTACGCTACATCCGGACTTCTCTATATATCATACAGACCGGCCCAATCAACCCTAACCCAATCACATCATACCCGTAGCCGCCGATACTGGCTTACAATTGGACATCAGACACAGCTGAGATGGCACGCGCAATACATGCATATATGCACTCACCATGTCGATATTTCAGTTCTGCTTAGAAAGGATTAGCAGTACACTGTAGCGTTGAAACTGGGTACTCACAGTCTTAATCAAGGACAATCGATAAACGCGGGACAACCTACTAGATGCGGCAGCCATCAGACTTTGGGACTTCACACGCAACACTAGAGACGTACTATTGCCCTGATCAGCAGATGTATT